TGGGAAGATAAAGATTTAGTCTTCTTATGCCACATCCTCTCCAACCTGTTCTCTATATTCCCGATATAGTTTAGCAGGATGTAGAATTCTGAATCAGAAATCATCTTCTCTGAATCTTGGAGGCCAAAATATATCCGAGTGAGTTCACCGTAGTTCGTAGTGATTGCCTTTTCCCTTCCCCTGAAATAAAATACCCCATCCTTTGAACAATCAGTTCTAGGACCGTGCATGCCTTTGATATGATTACTAGAATACACCTACTTCCCCTTTTTGAAAAGCAAAATGATATTAGATCATCCACAATCCCCTTGGACTTCTGTTCTCCATGATTACTAACCTCATTTGTCAGTACAGTACCCTCGGTGTAATTAATATGGGCTATTTGGAGCACTATAACAGGGAGCCCTGATCTCATCTGACAAAGTGACATTTAAGTTGAGATCTGAAAGATGAATAGCAAAGGCTGTGAAAGCATTCCCGCAGAGATGGCTGCAAGTGCAAAATCTGTCAGGGGAAAAAGAACGTTGGGAACTCAAGGGATAAAAGGTGGCCAGTGGAGTGTAGCTTGGTGAGTAAGGGGGAGAGAAGGCTCACTGGAGGCTAGAGAGGAAGGCAGCGGTCAGAGAATTCAGAACCTTGTAGTTGAGGTTAAGGCAAGAGTTGGGACTTATCCTAAAAGCAATGAGCAGCTACTGAAAAGTCATAAGCAGGGGAGTGATTTGATCTGATTTGTCTTCCAAAGACCTCTGTGGTTGCAGGGTGGGGAATGAATTGGAGAGGGCCAATAGTTAGGAAGATATGGGTAAAATTGGTTTTACATCAACATTAAGGCCAGCTTTGTAAGGGAGAAAGAAATTTCAAACGGGCAAAAGGTAGTCTTACGAGGTATTTTGGGGGTTTTTGTTTTATTTATTTATTTATTTATGGCTGTGTTGGGTCTTCCGTTGCGGCAAGCAGGGGCTACTCTTCGTTGCGGTGCGCGGGCTTCTCATTGTGGTGGCTTCTACTGCTGCAGAGCACAGACTCTAGGCGTGGGCTTCAGTAGTTGTGGCATGTGGGCTCAGTAGTTGTGGCTCACGGATTCTAGAGCATAGGCTCAGTAGTTGTGGCACACGGGCTTAGTTGCTCCGCGGCACGTGGGATCATCCCGGACCAAACCAGGGCTTGAACCCGTGTCCCCTGTATTGGCAGGCAGATTCTTAACCTCTGCGCCTGGTGGAGACCTTTGAATTTCTTCAACTTGCTGATGGCCGTGATAGAGATGCTGATATAACAGCTTCAAATTTTTTTTTCTTTCTTTTCTTAGTATTAGACGAGGAAGTGACTCTTCCTTCTCATCATTCCCCTCCTGCTAGATCCCTGAATTGCTGATCAACCAATTGATCCCAGAAGCAATTTGCTCCCCTCCTTCCCAAGCATGAACTGATGAATCCGGTGCCCTAGTGGGTGTTCTGCCCATTTCCCATGGTGAGATTTCTGAGGGGTTGAGGTAGAAGGTGGGAAAGAGCAAGGGGGGTGATAGAGAAGAAGGGCTTCCAAGGGGCTTGCACGGAAATAGGGCAGCAGGACTGAAATGGTCAAGGAACATTTTCCCTTCCCTTTCCGAGACAGTACAAATTATATCTAGTCAAGATGGTAATAGGGACAGAAGGCTGCTTCCTCTGAACTCCTGCCTGCAGGAGCCTGGGGCTTCTACTGCAGTCAGCTGATGCACCACAAGAGTTGGTGTTATATACCAAGAGGTCTGACAGTTTAGACAGGAGGAAGTTAGTTTTTGCAGTTCTGTTTATGGAACTGGCCAAATGAAAATGCTGGGTGATGGTCCACTTTTCATAGCCAGTGACAACAGCTTTCTACAACACCTGGGTTTCTTTTGGAAGCTGTGAAGAGGCACTGAAAAGAACAAAAATAATTTCTTCTTATCTAAAAAAAACACCTCACAAAGGAAAGAAATTCTAAAGGATGGGTGTGTGAGAGTAACTCTAATTCAGGTTGAATTTGGATATGGAAATAAATTACCTTGCACAAATTTCATGTTTTGCTGAGCATATTTATGTGGAATTGCAGTTTTATAGTCAAGCAAATTAATCTGGACCCAAGAGTATAGGTGTTGTGATGAAATAAATTAGGAGGACAGAGAGATGGTGAAATTACAATAACAAATGAAAATATGACCAACAATACTGCTATATCTTGGGAGATCCTAAAAGCCTTGCTTTTAAGCTGGGCAATGTGGCAACGGCATGTGAGAAAATACACAATGATGTGTGAGAGAATACTGAAAAACAATTTCCAGTTCTCTAAATTTTTTTAAGTTGATCTGTTTGAATCTATAAGCTAAGTACATTTTTTCCATTCATTTAACAAAATTGAATATGGAAAGATACTACTTATTATTTATTAGTAAGCACTTGCATCCCCAAATGTCTAAACTCATTTTCTATTACCAATTTTATTGATAAGGATGTATTTTATTGATAAGGATTCTAGACTTATACCTAGAACAAATGGCAATACGCTCTTCCACCCCCAAATTCCAGTCAGTGTCTAGAATAGTGCCTGCCACATAGTAGGTGTTCAACAATTAGTGAATTAAATTACGTTAGTCGTTCTGCTCAATAAAAGGAAAGCCAGAAAATATACTTTTTCTATTTGAAAATAAATCTTTGAAAGAGTAGAGAGCAAAACCTTAGATCCATTTTGCCAATAAAATAAAATATCCTAATATCTGACTAACAGACATCTAACATAAATCTTAAAAATCACTAGATACAGCCTTAAGTGTGAGTAAACACAAGGAACCATCATAGGGAAAGAACTGGAAACGCACGGTTTTACTTCTTGGCAATTAGGACAGTTTGGGAACATACCTTAAGTCTCCTGCGTTTGCACTTCGGTGAGGATGGGTACTCGTGGCTCACACTATCAAGTGCAAACTTCTAGGGTGTTTCTGAAGATCCTTTTGGGTTTGAGTTCCTCCGGGCCGTGCCCGCCCACACATGCTGGGCGTCTGCCAAGACGGTGTGTTCTTTTTCTTAGATTGTCCGGCACTTCCTCACCGACCTCTCCCTCCACCCTGGATTTTGCCCACTGCGCTCCTTCTAAAGCCTTCTCATATTGTAGGGTCCAGTTTAACCTCCAGCGCTTTCGAGAACGCTTCCCAGACCCCCTTTTCAGATTTACTAGCGCTCTCAGCACTTGGCACCTCTAGTCTAGCAGCCATTACTTCTAACCTGTTGTTTTGGCACGTGGTTAGCCCTGACCAGAGCGCGACACCTCCCCCCACTCTGGGGAGGTCTTTTAAGAAGTCGCCGTGTCCAGCCCTTAACACAGCCTGGTGCAAAGAAAATGCCCAGGAAAGGTCTGTTGAAATGAATCTAAACCCCAGAGGGGAAAAGGAGAAGCGCTTGCGCCCAGCAGTAAAGGCCCTTCACGACCCAAGGGTAGGCCCGCGGTGTAGCTGGCCCCTGTCCCCAGCGGCACACTGGCAGGAGAAGGTGACACGGTAGTGGCTCGTGGAGATGCCCCTGAACTTCCTTTACTTATTTCTTCTTTACTTTTTCAGAGGAATCTGAACGTTCTGCTCCAACAGCCTCGGGGCACGCCGTAAAGGGCGGTGCAAACCGGGCGACGTGGGTTGGGACGGCCAGTCTCGTGGCAATTCTAGCCTCGGCTTTCATATGTAATGTTTAAAGTTTCGCAAATTCCAGTTCTAAACTAGGAGCCGAGGGTGGAGAGCGTTTCCCGGTGCACAATTTTTCGCGTCCTAGGGAAGGCTCCGGGCATTCGGGGCTTTGCCTCACGTATCCTTTTCACATTTCCCACCGCAGGGAATCTACCGAGCGCTCCTGGCCTCCACCTCCAGCCCGAGCTGAGAACCGCGGTTCGGCCCAGCGGTCTCAGCCGCTTCCTTCTTCAACCCTCTGGGCAAATCCCGTGCGGGCGTGTGGGGGAGCTCCCAGCCCGCAGTACTAGGAGGAATAGGGGCGCGGCGGGACTACAACTCCCAGGCTGCTCTGGGAGAAGCGAGGGGGTGGGGACGAGAGGGAGGAGTTTGGGGAAGGGGGGTTGTCAGGGAAATCCCGCCCCGCTGCACAGCAGCAACGACACAAAGCCTGACTTTACAACCTAATAGAGAAAGTGGAAGTGAGACGGTTTAGGTGGGGAGACAGGACGAGAGAAAGAACCAGAGGAGGGAAAGCCGCGTAGGTGGGAGCGGAACGAAGCAAGGGTAGTGGGGAGACCCGCGCCTTTCCAGATGAGGAGGGGGCGGCTTTCATAACTAATCCCCCCGCCCGCGCCCCGCCCCGCTCCGCCCCGCCCGCGCTGGGGTCTCTACAGCGCCCTGCCGGTCCCGGCTCCTCGCGCAGACCCCGGCTCCGCCCCGCCGGGAAGCGGGGAGCCCGGCTGTCTGGCGGGTTTGGGGCGGGCCGGGAGGCTGCACCGTGGCTCCCCAGCCCGGGTGCGAGACGAAAGCGCCGGGCGGGCGACGCGGCTGCCGCGGACTGAGGAGGGGCTGCGAGCGAAGCGGCGCGGCGGACGAGTTAGGGCCCGGGGCAGGGCAGGCTGTGGCTCCCGCCCAAGCCAGGGGAGTAGTTTCGGGCTGAGGCGAGGTGAGGCGCGGGGCGCCTCGGGAGGGTCCCCGGTGGCCGCGAGCGGGGCGGAAGCACGCGGGCTGGCCGCAGGGAGGGCGGGCTGTGGCTCCGCGCCGGGGAAGAGTGCAGACGGCGGGGTGCCGAACCTGGCGCTGGTGGAGAGATCGGGGCGGCCCCCCTCCCTGCAGGAGGAGCCTAGCGCTCCTCCGCCATCCCTTCCCTGCGCGCTCGGCTCGCTTTCTCCGCGGGCTGCTGCGGGAGCGGCGGGGCGGCGGAGCTGGGGGAACGGCGGGGCCGCCGTCCCCGGGACGGGCGGGGCGGGGGCGGGCGGTGAGTGAGGCGGGCGGGGGCCGCGGGTGCGAGGGCGCCTGGGGGCGGGGGGAGTGAGGAGAGCCGCTGAGGGCGGGCGGGTGGCGGGGCAGCCAGCCTCGCCGTCCGTTTCGCGCCGCCGGCCCACGCCGCAGTGTGTGTTGTGGACGGCACCTTCTCAGACAGCCCAGTAGAGCCCAGCTCGGCGCCCGGCAGCCTTCGACGCGATGTTCCGCCGGAGCTTTAACCGTTTTGTAAGTACACTCCCTGCGGCTCCACGCGTGCCGGTTTGCTTGCTCGCCGGCCCCTTCGTCCGGTCCCTCAGAACAATTTTCTGAGGGGATGACTCCATCTCTGGGAGACACCACCACCACCCGTTTTTACATTTTAACTGAAACACGCTGCACAGGCGGCCAGGGTGGGAAGGCAGGTAGGGCTCTCGGAGCAGCCCCCCACCCCGCCCCCGACCCCGGACAATTTGTCCGGAGCTTCCCGGGGCTGTTACAGACCCTACCTCGGACGGGGGGCCACCCTCGGGCTGGATGGGGAGGGACCCGTGGAGGGACCGACCCAGGGGCCCCTCGGTTTGCCAATTAGTCGAAGATGGCGTTTTATTATCTGGGAGGTTGCTTTCTTTTGTTTCCTTTGCCACGAGCACATGGAGGTAAACCTAGACCTGTCACCGTGGCCCAAAAAGGACCTGGGGGCTGAAGGGTGAGAGGCTGGGGCCGGCCTCAGCCTTGCCCGGGGCTCGGCCGGCTGCTGACCCGAGGCCGGGCAAACTTTGGAGACCCAGCCTAAGCCTCTCACCTTGAGGGTATAATAAAAGCGAGGGTGATCGTCAGGGTGGGTCGGGTGGAGGTGGAGACGCGAGGAGGCTGCGCCGCCGCTGCCGAGCGCCGGGTCTGAAGCCTCGCCGAGCCCCGAACACCCCAGACATTGACCCAGGGGAGAAGGAAGGGAGCTGCGGCTGGACTCCTCCGTCCACGTTGACCCCCTCCCACAACCCCAGAAAAGGGAATTTCATTGCCGAGGGAGTTTGGCACCGGGACAAGCGATTTCTGGCTACTGACTTTTTTGAGTAATCTGTTTACTCCTGGAGGGTACCTTAAGAATGGAGTAAAACCGGGACCATTTACTTCTATGCTGCTATTTGTAGCAACTTCCTTAATTGCAAGATGAGGTGGCGGGAATAGGATTTTATTTCTGCCAATGATGTGAAAGAAAGGGTTCGTATGTAAATTTTCATTTTTCTGTCCTTAGGAAAAATGGTTGAGCGCTGTGAGCGCCCACCCCCCCCTCCAATGTCTGTTTGAGAACTTGTCGGTTTGGCTCTTTTCCTGCGATTATTTCAAATCGAAGCGTTGCTAGCATTTTTCATGCGTCGGATGAATTTACTCTCATGTTTTTCTGCGCTTGAAACTTTCCCAAATGTACCCTGGCTAAATGAAATAATTGTACATCCCATTTTAGAATGTTATTATCACAATAGTGCTATGTTAATGTTTTTCTAAATGTTTACCTCACCCAGAAGCCGTGTCTTATGAAATTGGAGCAGGTTTACCTGTGGCACAGAGCAGTAGAGGTTGTGCATATCAGGATTTTGAAATCCGTAGGAATTGGATTGTACTGGATGCTTTGCTAAAGCAAGTGACTGAAATTGGTTTCTCACATTTAGCCTGAGAAGGTAAAAGAGCATTGTACTTCATAGTTCTATTTCACATAGATTCTTGTGATCCTGGAGTGTTTGGGGGTGACAAAAAGGGAAAGGTGACAAAGAGGACTAATTGTAATATTTGGGAAAAGAATAATCTTTTCAATGGCTCTCTTATACTGGAAAACAACTGGCCTCTGGTTCATAATAAATTCATTAGCTCAAAATTGAGATCATTTGAAACCAAACAACCCAAGTATCAGTCTAAAAGCCCCCTTTGCTTTTCTTTTGCTTAGTGTGATCTGCGTTTTATGAGTCTAGTAATGAAGCAGTGCTGGCCCAGGAAGCTAGGGCATGCAGCAGAATTTGCAGCAGTTGTTGAGGTGCCAGCCTGCAGGTTTGAGGCTAGTACTTTGCATCCCCGTCCAAGATCTCTGCAGAGAATCACTTACGCTCACACTGAAAAGAGCTTTGACCTCATTGTTTCGGCTGGAATGCCCAGCTGCTCACATTTTCCTGCGCAGCCAGGACTATGGTTAAGTCTCCAGCATTTGTACCAGTGCAGTAAATTGAAAGCTTCTCAGGAGTTGTATCTGATCCCTAGGCCTAGGCCAAGGAATTAATCTGCAAACCCTTGGACTGAATGTGAAACATGCTATCAAATACTCATTGCTAAAGAATGACTTCAAAAAAAATTTTTGGTGGTGGGGGGCGGCAAATTGTAGCTCCCCTAATCAGTGAGCCAAGCACTGTCCTCATCTTTAGCCTGGTAGAGATTGAGGGGCACTCCCATTTACATCACTAGAAGGATACAGTTAAAGATTTAGGTTGGCCTTGGCCTTGCACAGCAATGTACATGTAGTCTAAGTTGTGTGCTTTTATATTTCAGAGATGGGGCTGTGAATTCCTTTCAGAATTGTGTGTTTGTGTGTGTGTGTACCTGTATGTATGTGGAATTGACTTTGAATGTGATGTAAATTACAGTGGTGTTGCTTATAGTTCTTGGTCACTGAAAACTAGATATTAAGTGTTAGGACAGGGCTTTACATTTTAAGCCTGACATGGGAAGTAGTATCAACTTCTATGGCTCAGTAGTGTTTGCTGAATCGTCTAAAAAATGCCAATTATTTCCCCAGGTTCTGCAGTTTCAAGCTAAACGAAGTAGTGATTCATTGTATTTTTTAAAGACATGGCCTTGACGTCTTTGCCATTAAAAATTGTCTTCTTTCCTTTCTGATGAATTAGGACTTTCCTTTTGACAGTTTTGAGGTACAAAGAAATTGGTGGATTTGGTGTAGGATTTTCGGATTTAGGTATGTAGGGGGTGTCTTAAAAGATTTAAGAATTGGATGTCTACAAGTACAATAAAAGCACCGCCTGTTCCCAGTCAACATCTCCATTCTCCATAAATACAATAAATAAATAATAGTTGTTTTGTCTATACAATTTATTTCCTTTAAAAGCATGTGTTTTTTTTTTAGAAGGTTTTTTTTTTTTTTTTTTTGGCTGCGTTGGGTTTTCATTGCTGCGCGAGGGCTTTCTCTAGTTGCGGCGAGCAGGGGCTATCTTCGTTGTGATGCGCGGGCTTCTCATTGCGGTGGCTTCTCTTGTTGCGGAGCACAGGCTCTAGGCGCACCGGCTTCAGTAGTTGTGGCTTGCGGGCTCTAGAGCACAGACTCAGTAGTTGTGGCGAACGGACTGGGCTTAGTTGCTCCACGGCATGTGGGATCTTCCTGGACCAGGGCTCAAACCTGTGTCCCCTGCATTGGCAGGCGGATTCTTGACCACTGCGCCACCAGGGAAGTCCCTAAAAGCATGTTTAATTGGAAGTCTGGGCTAGTTGAGACTTAAGGGTCAGGGACTTTTATGTTATTTTGTCTTTTACCCTTCATAACATTCCTAGTGATTACAATAGCATTTTCACATGGGTTTAAAGGTTTAATGAGAGTCTAAACAATGAGAATTCCCCCCATTTAACTTAGTAAATTATTTCATGCTAATGATTCAAAATAAAACATTCCTTGATAAAGTAGATCAGGGGGCTTGGCCAAGTGGATGCGGTCTAATTAGCTTGTCAGAGACTGATATTAAACGGATATGAATTTCTGGATCATTGACATACAGAAGCTTAAGTTTTGAGTTGAAATACTGGAAAATAATTATATCTCAGATTCTAGAAGCTCTTAAACTGCTTTGGTTCCATAAATCATGCAGCATATAGTAATGATATCACATAGAAAATTTTATATCTGTCAAAAGAGGCCCAGGACTGGAAAGAAATTAGACTGCATAAGGTATAATGAAAATTCAAAATAAGACCAAAAATATTCAAAATAGGTAGCCAGTTTACTACTTTGAGTCTGATCTCGGGTGGCCTCGGCCTACAGCGGCTTGAAGCAGGATTTAGGTTCCCCTGCCAGAGATTGAAGTCAGGTCACGGCAGTGAGAGCGCTGAATCCTAGCCACTAGACCACCAGGGCTAGTGGCCAGTGACAAGGACCTGGCCCGTCGGCTTTGTAGAAATGAATTCCCAAAAAGAGACGGAAAGTAGTAAAACAAGTGTTTATTAGGAGGAAAGAGGGCTCAGAGAGAGTCGTGCCCTCGTGGTAGTTTGAATCACTTATATGGGGTGTTTCTTCCAGGTTTCCCTTGGCCAATCATCCTCCTTTGCCTGATTCTTTTTTTTTAATTTATTTAGCCACACCGCACGGCATGTGGGATCTTAGTTCCCCAACCAGGGATCAAACCTGTGCCTCCTGCAGTGGAAGCGTGAGTCTAAACCACTTGACCGCCAGGGAAGTCCCATGACTTTGCCTGGTTCTGAGTCCGTATTTGGTTTATCTCAGGGTCCGCCGATGTGTGTGCATGCATCTCTTAGCCAAGATGGATCCCAGCACAGAGGCCTATGGGTGGGTTGACATCACCTAGTGTGCGGTGGCGCCCCCTCCCTTTTGACCTCCAAGGAGCCTTTCTGTGTAGTCAGGAAGGTCTTCTTAATCCGGAGAATGAGGAATATGTAGTCTCTTTATCTTTTCTCTGGGCAGGGCTCAGCTCCTCTCTGTTCTCGGTATTTATTCTCTTTGTCTGGGAGTATCTGTCCACAGGGGACAAACTCCAGCTGCTCAGTCTGGGGCCCATCTCTCTCCTGCCTCAAGTCCAAGGCAAGGCCAGTCTAGTGAAGCAATATATGAAGGCAATTAATAAAATTCAGGTAATTTTTTTTTTTAGGAGCAAGGTTTTTTGTTTTCTCCTTGAATTATCATTATCAGGGTAATTAGACTTTTTTTCTCTGTTTCACCTTACTGAAATCCTTGGCCTGACTTTGCTGAGCATGGAAAATATTGATGAGTTTATTTTATTGTGTTTAGAAATTTATCTAAATGTATGTATTGCAATATTTTTGCATTTACACAAGCATTACAAATAGCCTGTGTGCATCTTGGCTCCTACCAGGTAGTTCATACGTGGCTGGGTTTAACAGGTGAATTTGTCCCTACTAAAAGCAACCTTTTATTATCATATTATATTGTAATTTCCTTTTAACTTATGTGGTACCTTACATTAGTCTTCCTCCACTGGGAGAGAACCAACCCCTAATGC